TTGAACCGCGATAAGTGAATTTCACTGTGCAATGATAACTATTCAGGACCACAGTGGCGAGTACACGGTTGTCCAGCTCGATCATTCATCAAACGCAAAAATGATCTTAGACGCATTGGAATAAGACTGGCGAGAGATGCGTCATGCGAATGAATTGTGAAAAGATCAGTAGCCTCGGTGAGTTCCGAACCCAGTGCTTTTGGCACAATCTATTATCCGCGAAGCCACGTTGATCTTTCCACACTGGATCCTGCAGACGCCCTATGGAGACATATGGAAGCCACGATTCAGCGTGTAAGTTGGCTGCCCCGATAGGATTGTTCTACAAACAACCGGTATACATTGGCTGATTCGAGGAAAATCCTGTTACGGCAGTCAATTTACGAAACCGCTCATTCACTAAATTCATTTAAGTGACAAAAAAGAATAAAAACAGTAACACGATTTCGTAAACCGGTTTGAATGATAATCAATCAATCTAGCCTCATGGGCAGTCCGTTTCATATCACCAATGTTAGAATCACGACATGATTACGCAATTTCTGGTAAATGCGAAATATCGGTATGAGGGTCTGTCTGTCGATCTTTGAAAATATGTAAAAGCATAATTTGTGGGGTCAAGAACGAACCCAGTGAAATTTAGAAGAATAAAAGAGCAAAGAGAATGGATTAGAATAAAAGTAATACAGCGATCAAATGCGCACATAAAGAAAAATAAGGTACTCAGAGCAAAGAAAAACAAACCTGGATGGTGGTCTGTAGACAACCACGAAGCTCCTCGGTATGATTGGTACCATTCTGATAAGATCCCATGTTGATTGTGGCATTTGTCGGCGAACTGCTATCTGAGTCAGAGCGGAAACCTCGGGAACGATCACTGCCAGCTAGTCCATTTCGCTCGAACATGGACATTTTTGAGGTCTTAACCGATTCCTTCGGATACTCTAATTCATCATCCCCTTCGTGTCCCTTATCCTCCGGCGGTGAACGGAGATCTGCGACCGTATCGTTACGACCACGCTGAATGAACGGAATCCGAATGAGATAGAGTGGGCACGTGTTATTTTACTGCGTCCATAAACACGTGTTCGGTAACGTTGATGAGAATGACTGGCTTCAATCATGTTAGTAATTTTACAGACCGCTCTTGAATCACTCGTGATAAGGGGCATTTTGATTTGATCATTAAAGCAAATTATGACTCAAAAACCATCAGTGTTTTGATTCGATTGCTTTGAGCGATAATAGTGAGTTACACATTGACATGCACGCGATTCTGTTCAGTTGGGTCCCGATTTTGCAGCACACGTACACATGATGGTCGCTAGCCTCACTGTCGCGCAGTTCAATGCCACGCCCTTCCTAGTGTGACCTTATGCGATTCTTCACTCCACCCTCGGGACGCAGCGCACCGGCTCCCAAAATCAAACAGTAGTGCGCGTGACTTCGGTTTAGCACATCAAGCACAAGTAAGTAATCAGAAACTACATTACAAATCAGCACAAAACACTTGAGCAATCAGACCTTTTTAAGACCCAGTCAAAAAGAATGTGCAATAGTTAACCGAGCGCAGACAATCATCTAACGAAGTTATTGATGAGCTTTAACTAGGGTTATTTGTCCTGCAGATTCCCCTTTGAGAACACCAACATTGGGAAAGCATTATGAACATTTTCTGAGGTTACAGAATATAAACTCTAGTTAATGAGTACATCTTGAACACTACGCATAACTGGTCACATGTATGAGAGAAATGTTCGCAAACAAGAAGAAGTGACACTAAAGCGCTGTCAAGAACAAAATAAGTAGCGCTATTCGATCCACCTTGACTACCCAATAGGAACAATAAAAGTGACAGATAAACCGAGAGGTGAACGGATCATGGGTGGAAACATTGAAACACTTTTCAATTTTATTTTCTCTTTCCTCCTCGGATAGTCTATCATGTCATCGAACTTTGATTATGGCGACAAGGTAAGCCATATGCACTTAAACAAGAACCGAAAAGGGTGGGTATGGGGTATAGAGGGGAACGATGTGCAGAAGCAACAATCACAGAGAACCGAACGAACAAGGATAACAATGTTTTTATCTGTTTCACTATACACTTGGATATTTGTGTTTGTATTTTTATGGAACAGACCGTACAGTGTTCGCACCAAGGACTTCTATTCTGAGCCATATCTCTCAGCATATCGAATCGAAGACAATACTCATCCCTTAGGCCCCAACCTGGAAGGCGGGCTACCCCAACGGAAACCAATGCTGAGGCTAACTTCTTTATAACCCTATGTTAGGCCATAATCTGACCGCCGCGACGTTTCTTACAGCCTTGTCCAGCACGAGCAAAGAGGGCACGGAAAGGTGGACGACGGGTGGGTATACGCGAAACGTGACCAAAACACTGAAAGCGGTGTTGAGCACCTACTTTATTTGACTACAGCTGGCTGTTGGAGAGCATGAGCATGACGATTATGACGTTTCGTATAAGTTTGGTCAGAGAGAGGTCTTCAGCGTCACTCCCTCCATGAATGCACACCACCGTGAACCCCTACGGATACCTTGCGACGATTCGGTCATTATAACCAGTACTTGTTGAAGATAAATAATACAGGAATTCCCGTAGCCCATATATCCAACTTGGAGACGAGGGTCGGACAAGATCTTCGGACGGCCGATAGAACCCCTAAACGAAATGAGGATGATATTTTTGTTCAACAATTTTTCTCAATATGTTGGCAATCCAAACAGACTCTGAGGTCTGTGAATTTGTGTGAACGACATGAAAAACTGAGTTCATTTCTTGTTGCTATGCATTTTCCCAAAGTGAGAGAACGGAAAGCCGACATCCGAGGCTATAATCGGGTTGGTGGACCACTGGTAGTGCACCTAGCGAAGTTGGCCAAAAACCCTGATTCCAAACCAACCATGAGGAGGCGTACGAGCCACACCCACACCTTTTCGGTTGTGGCAGTGGTCATCGGCTCNGATTGGGCATCGAGGTGTGTTGGGCATCCTGGACGTTTGACCCCGTCCAAAGGGCGAACGATCCGATGAACTGGACACCGGCTCCGAATGGACTGCGGTTTTCACGCACCGCCCCGTTGCCCTGCGGGTCAGGCTTTGGTTAGCCGAAGGCTCCGGTGAATTCCTCAAGAAAATTCACCTGCCTTGGCCTGGGTAACCTGGCAGTATTCAGCCCGCAAGTCAATCATGGAACGTTTTCTTTTTTTATAAAGATTACTGTACCATGATTTGCCTGGTACACAGACTGTCCTCAGACAAGTGTGAAATATAATAATATAATGCTATGCGTTTACGGTGTAGGCCTTCGATCGTGTAGCTCAAGGATACGTTTCAACTTCCACCCCGAAGGCCCACGGTTCGAATGCCGCCCGGGAGACGAACATCGTACTCGTTGATGATGAGTTCAGACCATAAAGTATCACAAACAACGAATAAACTAATATCACAGTTGGCAAAGTATGTAGGCAACATTCAAGTTCTCTTTAGTTGGGCCGAAAGAAGATGCTCATCATCTTCCTACAAACCGATACTATACGAACGCATAATATCTAGCCGATTTTCTATCGTATATTACATGTGTAACAATCTATGGAAAATACTAGAAACACCCGTAAAGGTTGAAAAGGATGCCTTTCCCCGAAAGGAAGATTTAACGCAAGTTGAAGTCGACTTTATCATGAGAAAAACAAAAAACTGTTGTTTTTCTCATTCCATTAGGTTTTTGGCACAAATGAATAGCTTTTTAGGGCAATGAAGGTGAGAAATGCCATACACAGGCGCGTGCATGAGAAATATCACGTGTCACGTACATTGTTCAAGGATGTTGAAATGTTAGACAAGTCGATGATTCATCAAGTCTTTATTTGAAAGAACCGATTGCGGGCGCAAAGACAACATGAGATGTTGGGGAATTCCAAATAGTGACAATGTGAGCAGCAGGCGTATAGGCGGTTGGGCTTCTGCAGTCAGTGGCAGACCGAAATCATGCCTCCTCGAATTCGCGAATTCCACACAAACATTGGAGTGCAATCACTCGACCGCCTTTGCAGCCACTCCTTGTAGACGTCCCAAAACTTTGCGATCGCGTTGCAGTCATTCATTTTATGTGAACAGTGCACCTAAAGATAACTCAACTAACAAACATGGGAACAGCGTTGACTCAAATCTACCCGAGACACACGAAAGTAAACGTGACCTATGGCTATGAACGGCGCCGTGCAGCAATTCATCAAACAGATCCCGTGAGTTTACACTAAAGGAAGGAGATGGCAGTGAATCGGGTCACTACGACAACCACCTTTGTAAACAGGTGAAACTACTTCTTTCCACGATGGTGAGAGGACGGTGTTATCGAATATTTATTACAACAGTTCGCCCAATGGCTGAACTACGTGACTTGCCAGTTTGTGGATGTGCCATTTATGTCTGGTGATGAATTTCTTTNATAACAATTTCGAGTTTATCTTTTCAGGGAAAGCAATCATATTTCATTTTCGTTCTGGAATGTGATTCAGCAACTAAAGGAGTCACAGCCTCACGTCAACAGATTCAGCAAACACTTGGGAGCATTGACTTTTAGCATTTTAGCAGCTTCCTTTGTTGTGTTGGAAACAAATCATGTCAAGTTTAGTGCTGGGAACCAAGACTTGACTCTTCAGGAGGCGCTTTCATGTCTGTAGAACAGTTCTGTAAGGGATGTACACTTTCACACCCGCTTTTCTTGGCACATCAACTCATCTTTCCGCGACAAATTCTTGAGTCAGACAGTAGGTTTTTGCAGATGCTGCTGCAAGGAAACGGCGTGTAATTTTTCTAGGAGAAATTCTTCTATAAAATCTTCTTCGGTTGATCATGAATGAGTGATTTTTTTGGCATTTGTCACGGCCTTCACCAACCCTGTAAAGCGGTTTGTAAATACCATACCATGCCATATCATATCAGAGGATTACAACGTTTGTTGGAGAAACCCGACTGGATAGCTTGCGCCAGAATCACCAGTGCTGTACACTCAACAAACGTTTATGTATTTTTCGTAGAATTTCATGTTAGAGATGCATAGCAGCAGTTTGTACACAAAAATAGCAATGGTATTGATTGAGCGTCAAAATTGAGAGCATAAGAGATGCTACTAACAAATGTAAAATAAATCAGACAGTGATAAGACCGGTGTGGTATTTTCAGTGTGAAGGACAATTCTGCAGCAAATCACGATGCTATTCCTTAATGGTTTGTCAGCAACAAGCGAAACACTAATTGAACATACCTGAAAATTCCATTCATTGGAGGTGTCAATCTCCTGAAGAAAAATTGGACGATTTCCTGCATCCTGTGTACATATCAGAGAAAAGCAGGGCAAGAGAGGCGTTAAAAGTAACTGGGCTCAGCATGAATGCAATAGAAAGGAAAAACAATAAATGAGAATAAAGCAACACATGAAATATTCATCCTATTGGAAACGGAAACTCAACTGGCGTGGGACAGCGAACTCGCGGTTGCTGATGAGCGAATGCCTTGAGGCACATCGCTAGCGAGTACACTTAACTAACCGTTAAATAAACAGTGCACCTCAGAGTGAAGCTCCAGTTGTAAGATTTCCTAGATAGTCTGAGCGTCAGTGTCGCCATGTCCGACATACGTTGAGTACCTTCAAAGTACAAAATATTTACAGGACTTGACAGGTTTAGCTCGTAACCTCGCCCTAAATGGGTAAATAAAAGAGGAGTTAACAAACAAATTTCGCTATTTGGGCAGCTACATCTCACTTGTCGGACATACCACAGCACGCTTACAGAAGGTTCGGTTGGCGTTTGCCAACTTGAGACACCTATGAGACCGTCGCGAAATCCGTGCTGCTATTTAGTGCCGAAACTTGACCGTTACGGGAACGGAATAAAGATAGATTGCCAGTGCTTGAACATGATTGTCCAGTGATGCAACGGGATCAACAATACTGAGGTTAGGTGCCGTTTTACGCAGCTGCAGTCACCCAATGA